AAGATATCTTATAGACGTCTTATGTCCTAATTTTAAAAGTTGACTGGATACGTCTATAAGATATCTTAAAGATATAAGTAATATAAGATAAGTTTTTCATGTGTCTTACATCCACATTTTAGACATTATGTTGTCTGGAAGGAAATTATTGGTACGAAGTTTTTCTTGGGAATTAATTATTTATGTGAAGTACTACACTTATAAGATGCCACAACTTGCAAAATCGATTTCTGAACAAGTCATAGCACATCCGATAACTGTGATGTTGAGCATCAATATCCAAACGGGATTTATGTAAGTGGGCCTTTATTTGCAAGAAATTACAGTATAAAGTTTGTTGTAAATAAATGTACTTTTATTGCCTGTAAATAAATCAGGATAGTTGTATATTCTCGTGATCATACTTTTAATCTACTTATTAAAGTAGACACATTGCACGGCAGGTAGATTGCTGTACATTTAAGCGGCAGAATATACAATTATCTTGATTTATTTATAGGCGATAAAAGTATACATTTGGACATTCGAAGTGATGCTATGCGCATACAGTCACTATTTTTTATCAGCTTATCACTTTCTCACTATTTATTATCAGCACCAATAACATTTTCATATGCGCTACAAATGCATTTCATTGTAAGCAATGCAAATTATGTGTCTGTATTCGTGTTTGTGTTAAACAAGCCTGATATTTCCCTAATTATCCTTAATTAATAGCATAAAAACGAAAGACATATACAAAACAAATGTATTATACTCGAAAAGCATTAATTACACGTCGTAAGGTAAGAAAAAATAAATCGTCGGCGAGCTTCGAACGCTCGCTGCCAGCTCAAAAATGTTCAGCGCAAGAGCCGAAGTTCACTCAGCCACGCTGCCTCCCTGAAAGAGAGCTGCAACTTTCGCTCTATATACATGCTATAGCTCCGCGACCCAAACTTTATATTGTAATTTCTCGCAAACAAAGACGCACTTACATAAATCCCGTTTGGATGTTGATGTTCAAAATCGCAACTATCAAATGCGTTAATACTCGTTCGGAAATCGATTTTGTAGGTTATGGCATCTCTTTGTTAGTAATTAAAACCTGTACTAGCAATTGACCTCAGAACTTCAGTACTGTTTTACATGAGTCATCAGTACCAACAGAAATAAATTAATATTAGAATTTATTACTCCATTTATGAGGAGCAGAAAGAATAACTTATAAAAATAAAACATTTGCTAATCTTCATTTATTTTCATAATACTTAGTAGTAGTAATTAATATTGATTACTTGTGATTATATTTTTTGTATATTATATAGTATATCGTTTTTTGTATATGCTCGGAATATATTGTGAATTCGTTTATGATGTTCCATTTATTTATCGAATATTATAAATATATATTCTGAAAGAACCATCTGCACTTTCAACAAAAATAATTTAAAATTTTGGGTAACGAGAAAAATAAGTATAAATTTTCTTATGATTAAAATGAATTATTCCATAATATGTTTTTCCATATAACTTATTATTTCGAATTCATTATAATCTGTAATTAAAAATCCAAAAATAATAATGACTTAGTTCGTTAATATTACATTAATTTCCGTGACATGTCAATTGTTCCTGCGTTGTCTCCAATGTTTGCCAGAATTATGCTATTATAATGTTTTTTTGAATAGCATAAGAAAGTATTATAAGCATAACTTTTCAAGATATCGTCAGGGCACATTGGTATCAGAAATTGCTATTCTATCACTGATGTAAAACAACACTTGACCACGCTTATAACATGGATGGGTGACCACTTCAAAGAAGCACACAGGGTCATTATGAAAGTTATAAGAAGAAAAATGCAAAAATTATTATGGCATTTTCTTTAAATAAAATAATCTAATGTTAGTTCGTTTCATCTCGTTTGTATCAACTTAATTTTACTGGAAGTAATATTTTGTAATCGCAGTAATTAATTCTTATGGTAATTTGCTAAAAAATCACTGAAGTACTGACCAATAATTAATCGTTAGTATTTTTATCAGTAATTGCCAATAATATAAATGCCTTTTCTATAAAAAATGTTAAGTAGAATTGAGAATTAATAAAAATAGGCTTAAAATGAGAAAATAATATATCAAACATGTGTTATATATTAGAAGCAGACATTTCAAATAAATTTATTTGGGAATATTTAGAATGATTTCATCAAATTTTCTAGAAATCAGAGGGTAAGTCCCTTTTTGGAATTATATCCATCTAAATAATAATTAACCAAAATTGTATTAGATCAATAATAATTCAAAACTGGATTTCGTAAATATAACGAGGTTATTTTTGTTTCTACAAAGAATATTACTACATACAAAGTATATCTATTATTGAACACCCTATGTTTATATATTATGATACTTCTATTTTCTAAATATCCATAAATATAGAAAAATATATTATTTTATACTCTATATGTATGCAAGAGTAAAAAAATATATATTCTTTCTATATAAATATATGCATTATTACTTACAAATATAATATACTCCATATTTAGGATGTCTAAGTTCTTTACAAAGCAAATCAACGTTCTCCTTTGTTGGCCTTATAAACACTAGGCATGTTAAATGTTTTAATGTATCATTATGTACAGCAGTATCTATTCGTTCAAATAAATATACTTCTTTCATCAATATCTCAGACTGGCTATAAAGCAAGCTGATTATACTTGTCTAGAAATAAAGAAGTCCAAATTTTATATTATGCATATGTATACATGGTAATTAATTAGTTTAGCCACGCCAGCACAAATATGGATGAAATTACACTTGCTCGACGCGTTTTTGCACGAAACGAAAGAATCTGGCAGAAAAAAAGTGTCACTCTGTCCCACGAAGTGAGTTATTAAGTGTCAAAGTTGACGACTTGACAGGTTAGGAAACCTGTCATACCGATGAAATGTTGTAATATGAGCATGCTTCGTGGTATTAAATAAATATAAGTATTAAATCTTTGCCTCACTAAAGTGTGCGTGATGAGTCTGTTTTATACTAAAATAAAAACAGTGAAAATTAGCAAAGGCGCCTACACAAGATATGTTGTTAACTTATAATTTACTTATTTCAAATATTGTTATCTGAATTTATAATTACTCCGTTATATTTTATATTAGTTTCTATTTAGCAGACATATCTTGCGTAGGGTTCTATGCTAATCTTTACTGTTTCAATTTTAGTATTAGATAGACTCATTACACTCATCATATTTTAATAAGGCAAAAGATTTTAGTTTCAAGAACAAAATGAGTAAATTATAAGTTAACAACATATCTTGCGTAATATGGCTTTGCTAATTTTCACTACTTTTATTTTAGTATAAAACAGACTCATCACACATACTTTAGTAAGGCAAAGATTTAATACTTATATTTAATACTATGATTTAATACCACAGAGATATATATATTTTTTTATTTAAATATATTTTATATTTAAATATTATATATTTAGTTTTTATTTTGCTATTGAAATCTTTTACCTTACTAAAGTATGTGTGATGAGTCTATTTTATACTAAAATTGAAACAGTGAAGATTAACATAGACCCCTATGCAAGGTATGTCTGCTAAACAAAAAATAATTTAAAAAATAATGGAGTAATTATAAATTCAGATAACAATATTTTTAAGAAGTAAATTATAAATTAACAACATACTTTGTATAGGGACATCTGTTAATTTTCACTGTTTTTATTTAAGTATAAAACAATCTCTTCGCGCACATTTTAGTAAGGCAAAGATTTAATACTTATATTTATTTAATACCACGAAGCATACTCATATCGCAACATTTCATCGGTATGAAAAGTTTCCTAACCTTTCAAGTCAAGTCGTCAACTTTGACACTTAATAACTCACTTCGCGGGGCAGGGCGACACTTTTTTTTGTCAGATTCTTTCATTTCGTGCAAAAACGCGTCGAATAAGTGTTATTTCATCCATATTTGTGCTGGCGTAGCTAAACTAAATATTACCATATATATTTTATATATATATATATATATATACGCACACATGTGACTGAATGAGTAATGAATGTGTGTGTGTGTGTGTGTGTGTGTGTGTGTGTGTGTGTGTGTGTGTGTGTGTGTGTGTGTGTGAAATATTTATCAATGCATATTATATACACAAAATAAATACAACATATATACATATAAATCATTTTTACCGTTTGTTTATCCATTAACAAAACTTTCATACCAGGGCCACTGTCTTCTGTCATTTTCGATATATAAAACTTCAAAGCGGTAACGACATTCATTTTTATATTAAATAAAATAAATCAATCAACTATCTAATCCCGTCACTACTTCTTACTACGCTTCCTAAATCGTTTACAAAATTACAATAATGCTCTCGCACACAAATTGTATTGACCGTAAACATAAGACGTAACCTTAAACAGAAGAATCAGGGTGCGCTCCTTTTAGGGAGAATTCACACCTTGGCTGCGTTCTCTTTGGGCTCTCACGAACTGAAAATGTTATTCTGGGCGTGTTCGAGAAGACGCTATCTATTGCTACCGCTTCATTCTATCTTTATTACTCTTTACGTATATAACAAGGATAGAATAACGCGATAGCGCTAAATACTGTCTCCTTGAACGCACCATCTATCTTCTTTTGGCATATAATAGACAACAAACATAGAACGACGCTTATAGCAAAAGAGCGTCCAAAGAGAACGCAGTCCTTGACATAAAAGCTAAAAGCTTCTAGGAAAGTAGCAGCCAATCAGAACTGGCGATGATAATAAAAGCCTTCACACATGGATCATCATGGCCGGGATTCATATTCAGATTTTATATTTAAGGCGTCTTAAATTTATCTACAGATGCTCTACGGCTCATTTCATTGGCTACGAAGCATCTAATGACAAACTTGAAACGGCTTAAATATAGGGTGCATTCAAGGTTATACTATTAGCGCTATTTAACGTTAAATGCTGTTCGCGGAGCTAAAAAATAGTGGGTGCGTTTGAGTGTGAAACCGGTGATACAGCCGCGGAGGGGAGCGCGGCTGACCGCGAGGAAGGAAGAAGAACCAAGAGTCAGGACCCGGAACTGAGGGGCAATCAAGAGTTTTATTTTCACGCGTACAACAGTTTATCTTGATTTTTTGTTTAAAATAGTTTTACTTTTATTTACAACAGCTATTTTTATAGCATGGTCACAATAGCTTTATTTTTTATGTTATGAGGGTATCTTTATATAATTTTACGTTTTATTAAAATGTCTAACCATAAGAAGCGCTTGCGAAGCCGCAAAAGAGAAAGAAGAATTATTTTTTCGATAACACCGTCAAAAAAATTAACATGATTAGTTCATAAAAAATCCAAAATCATTTTTCAAGTAAAAACCGGAATCAGAAAGGGACTTCCGGTTAGCGACATTACGGACATCAGCCGACAGAAAAGAAAGGTTAGGCCATCCCAGCGACTAGTTCCAGTCGGCTATAAGGAACGAGGTTATGTAAACCCTACCGACTGGCGCCAGCCGAATGGGAAGAGAAAAATGCACGTGCGCGAGACACACGTGGGTCCAAGGCGATTGACCAAAACCAGCAGCGAGAAAAACTATTGGCGGAGACCGGCGACGACTGGACGCGTGCCTGCGCGAAGCCCCCGATGGGCGAAAGCGATTGGCCAAGACCGACAGCGAATCAGGAAGTATCGCGAAAGTAGGTAACGTTCGAAATCATAGAAGCAAGTGCGGCTGTTCTATGCGGACGCTGGAAATGAGAGGACGCAAAGGTGAAGGAGCCCGGAACTGCGTCGACTAACGAGAAGAGGGATCCCCGAGAAACGGCTGCCCGGGGAGATCGCCGGAAAGGACGGCCTTGTGCAAAACCGCTGGCGGAGGCTCAGAAGACGTGGGAAAACGACCGGTCGCCGCTGCGACGGTAAGTGGTTCATAAATGTGCCACAGTTCTTCTCCGCGTAATTTTCCCTTTTCTCGGAAACCCCGTCGCCCGCGTGAGAAACGCGGATCGCGACGTAAGTACCCAAGGCCGGAAAATTTCATCCGGAAGTGAAATCGTCGTCGGCAGGATCAAAGGAGCGGCCAACAAGCTAAACGATCCGTACTGCGCAGTCTTATTGAGCGCGCCCGATCTTGTCAGGACTTGATAGCGGCAAGAGTTCTACGTCGCAATAGGGCGACATAGGAAACATTGCGAACGACGCCGCATTGCTCCACCCTCTTGATCGGCGTACTTGTTCGCGAAACATTTTAATCTCGTACCTTTGAGGGGAGGTATTACTAAACGGTTAGATCATCCATATATTATTTGTTTTTACGTTATTTCCTTATAGTTTACCCGCATCATTTTATACCGATTATGTACCTATATATATATATATATCGATTAGTCCATAGTTTTCTAAGTTCCTCATTATATCACCGTATTCTATTTCCTTTTATAGTATCGTTTATTTTTTTGTTCTTTCTTAATACGTTTATCGGACTTCTAATTTGTATTTTTTGTCGATCGCATGATCATTTGTTTCATTCGAGAATTTTTGTTTGAATAAATAGTTTCTTTCATATTAGTTCGAAGGATAAGTGTTTCGTTTTTCGCGCTCTCCTATCTGCATACTCAGTGTTCTAAGCGGGCGTCCTGCGACACGAGCATCTCTTCGGAAACGGCAGCGCCATCGGGAATAGAATCCCCTCGCGCACATAGTAATATCAGCGGCATATCTGGATAGACTTGGCCGGTCCAGCTTTCCAGGCCAAGAGTTTGGGTGAGTCTCGAAAAACACCCTGGCGACCATAGAGATATAAGAATAGAGGGAACAAGCCTGTAAGTGGAAGTCATAGAGGCAAAGAGAGAGATGGATGCCGAGTGTCCTATCTGTCTCTTTCTAGTCACGCGCTGGGATTGGCTGCCGCGCCAACGACGATATAGCTATACTATGGAGCTACGTTCCGTCAGAGTGGGGCTGTCGGGCGGTAAAGTTGATGGGGGTTATTCTAGACCTAAAGCGCTGGCAAAAATCCTATGTCAAAAGCATAGGAGCGTAGCGCTGCTCATGCTTTCAGAATAGCCCCCCAGGATTTTAATATGTTGCCTTATAAGGAATAAAAAAAATCAAACCTTTTTAACATAAAAGGTCCATACAAACTAATTTAACGTAAGCTCCGGAGGGGGTCGATCATCATATGTAACTTTCATATTCTTTTTGTAAATATGATCGTGGCGTAGATGCTAAAGCTTTTGCCTCTCGACACGAAGGACCCGGATTCGATTCCTGGTCAAAGCATTTTTTTTTTATTTATTACCTGGACGTTGACATGCATATGCAAATTCTCACATATTAAAGAAGTATGCATACTTTTATTGTACCTGATATAAGATTTCAGATATGTTTAATCAGTGATGCATGTATTTATTTATTTATTTTTTCGTGCTAATGCAAATAGCTCTTGATAAGGCCTTTCTATTTGCAGTAGTACTCTTAACAACTTACATACACTTTCGCAAATATGTAAGGAATTCACTTATGAAATTTAAAAATAATAAAAAATTTATTTTTAAGTGTCATATTTTAGTATGTTTTTAACTTATTTTAAACT